AACAGTTGCAGTGACGTCACCAGACAAAACAGCCTCACTGGCCAAAAAATTCATTCTGAGAAAACAGATTTCCAAAGTTTTGAACCCATATTTTGATCTAAAATGACCCTGCACAGTAGCTAGATGTGTCCTTTGGAGCTCTCTTTTTTTGCTGCTTTTCCTGCTTGTGTTGCATTCGTTTTTGAGCATTTTTCAGATGGAGAGAGTCTCTCTGTGCAGCCTGTTGGTTGGCAAGGTGACCAGGTGTAAGCCCTATCGATGACGACAACTCTTGGGTGGCCCTGTAGCAACCGGCGTTGTATCTCAACACTGCCTCAAGCAGTGCTGTCTCCATAGCTATCAACAATATATGCTATTCCTTGGGCGTCAAAAACCATAAAACAAAGTGTAATGATTCCGACGCATTTTGTGTCTTCGCTTCCAGGCAGTGTTACAGACGCGAAGCCTGTGAAAAGCGCTGATAGACAGGCAGCACTGCTTTTGCAAGGTAGTCAGGAATATTGTACTTATTCTTTGGAGAGGGCACACCATTCACCTTGCTGGCATTATGACGGCATCATGAGCCCTCACCTTCCAGGCACAAGTCATGGTGAGGGTTCGTATCTGCAGAGAGGACGTAGTAAAATGATGCCATCATTGCACGAGGCATTGCAGTCACATCACTGAAATTGTTCCGCAGTGCCCAGCCATAATAATTCGTCAGCTTATCAATAAGTGCTTTGGTCAACCTTCCCTTCCCTCCTAGAGCTTGTTCACTTTTCTGCACGAGATTGCGCAGAGCTGTGCCCATCCTCTTCCGAACAGTGTTAAGGAATTCTTTGATGATAGAGACTAGCCTATAAACATTCTCTTGTTGAAGAGCAGAAAATGTGGCATCATCTGCAACGGATACTATGGTTGTGTAATGGAGGTTGTTTTTTTGACAAAGAACGTAAAAACAGAGCTACCGCTGCCTTAACCGCCATCCTCCCAGACCTCACAACAGTGTTTTTATGGCACACGTGCTGCTCCAACCAGCTTGCGTAGCCAGTGTCTTTGGGATTCGGCCCTTACTAGACAGCCGAGGAACTGATTAGACAACGCTACGGCATCTAAAATGAAGCCTGAGTGGCACTTGATGACTGCACCAACTCCAATGTGGAATGTATGTCCACGCTTGTGCCAGGTCCTATCATAGTTCACTGTGATGTCCCTGCAGAAGAATGGGTCCATCTCCTTGTACACCTTTCTCACAGCAGAAGCCGATTCTGGGTAAAATTTTTCCAGAGTCTGTTCCCGTGATTCCCTGGATTGCTTCAGGAGCCTCTGGAAAGTTCTATGCTGCAGGCCACAATGGGACACATTCATAGCAGTCCGAAAAGTCCTAGAGGGAGTTTTGACACATTCATAGCAGTCCAAAAGTCCTGTTTGCTTCTCGACCATAATAGCCCTTGTATTCACTTTGAAGGCTTTTGACTTGTTCTGGAGAGCAGAATGCCACGAGCTTGAAACTATTCCACAGTGTTCACATAAGAGCTGATGTTTCGTGGCAAGTCCAAGCTGGGTGCCTCCTCGGAACTTCACCCCAATCTCGAGGATGCGCGGGCACAGGGTCTTGGACAGCAGGCCACTAAGGGCATCCCCTTGCACAAGGAAATATTCATTCATTCATTCATTTATTTTTATTTCCTTAAAGACCCCCAAGAGGGTATTACATAAGGGGTGGGTAACATACAATCGATATTTTTATCACAATGATAAATGTGAAGTTACATTTGAAATATTATGCATGAAGCTTGATATAGAGGTGATTGTGGCCACATCGTGGGAAAGGCCATTCCAGTCTTTTGCTGCTCTGGGAAAAAAAGAAGCAGAAAATGTTTTAGTACGGGCACGTGGGCGAAAAACTTGAAGCGCATGGCCGGTACGACGAGATATGTGAGCTGCAGGAATAATGTAAAGAGGGCGGTTAAGTGGAGAGTGAAAAAACTTGTGAAATAATGAGAGGGATGCGATGTGTCGGCGACATGATAAAGGGGATGAGTTACACATGGCTTTGAGGGATGAAACACTGATGTCGTATAAGTACGAAGCATGAATAAATCTAGCTGCATGATTTTCAATGGATTCGAGGGAATTGGTAAGACCAACTTCAGGCGGGTTCCAAATGGGAGATGCATATTCTAACTAAGATCTAACTAATGATGTATAAGCAAGTAGTTTTACATGACATGGAGCGCTGCGTAAGTGGCGTTTTAAGAAGCCCAGGGTTCTGTTAGATGTTGGTACGATTTTATTATTGTGAGTGTTCCATGACAAATTGTAGGATAGAGTGATTGCAGGGTATGTGTAAGTGGTTACTGATTCGACAGGGACGTTAGCTATGTTATAGGAAAAGCGAGGAGGGTTTAGACGACGAGTGAATGAAATTAGATTGCATTTAGTAGGGTTTAGGGTCATTAACAGTCATCACACCACTGTAGGATATGATTGAGGTCTTCTTGTCTTCTTGTATATTTCTCGCCTTCAGTCGTAGCGGTGGCATCTTCAGGTTCAGGCATTATCTGAAACTTCCTCTTGGTTGCCAGCAGAGCGCCGAGCTTTTGTTGCAAAACAGCACGTTTGCTATCTTCCTCGCACGTCCAAAAACGTGTCTGCAAATGCACAGTCGATAGTGCAGTTGCACTTTTCAGGCCCGTAATGAGTGCGGTTAGCTAGCGCGACGCATCAGGCGCACTTGAGCACAAAACACCAACACCAACCTTTGTTGTGACGACAGGGTCTTGCAGTGATGGTGTAGCCATCTCAACATCGCGATAAGCGTCAACACAGTCGTCTTGCAGAGACGAAGCAGAAGCTGCTCCCCCGAAACCATCGATGCGATTGTCACCGTGAGTTGCCATGTGAACAGGCCAGCACCATGCATATGAGCTTCATCTGACACTTTCTTGAACCAAACGCGTGCAAAGTCTCGAACTTTGTTTTGCCCATCGTGACCAACAGCGCAACAATTGGGCTTCCGTGAACACGGTGAAAGATTCTCTAGTAAAGACAATGAAAGATTGAATAGTACAGGTGAGAACTGAGCGGGAAGATGATAAACGGGACAGACAAAAAACGCCGGCCTTGCAAATGCTGCAGCAGATGGCGAGCCAGGGGAACAGATGCGTCATCGCGCGCAGCAGCCAATAGGAGCCGTGTGATCGACCACTTCCTCGAGAGGCACGCGCTTTCTCTAATCGCGGCTTCGCATCCGAGCCGCGAGAGATTTCAAAACATCAAGAGCCCACAATCATGAGCGATTTCCGCCTCGGCCACACCGCTGCTACTGCTGCAGATGGCGGCGTTAGGCCGCGTGGTTTGGGAATTGGAAATGCGCGTAGTTGGGGTATACTCAGCGCTTGCTGGCCGCACGCCGGCTGCTGCAGCATGTTATATAATTTATTTGATATACTTTGGTGTAGAATTAGACATTTATATTTACAGAACAGATAGTTCATGAGACACACTACTTGAATAAGTGGTTTTCAAAAAATCTACTTTTTCCCGATTTTTTTGTTTTTCAAAAGGTGCCTTTCCCCTTAAGTGATGAAAGCTTTAGAAAAGTCTATGAATATGCAGTCAGTTTGAGAATTATTACCGGCGTTTTGAAATAAGTCATTAGTAAATGCTAAAAGCTGTATTTACATGAATAACCTTTCCTAAACCCATGTTGGTTATGAAAAAAGAAATTCTTAGATTCCAAATCACTGGTTACCTTTGAGACGATGATGTGTTCAAGTAATTTGCCGGGGACACAAGTCAGTGATAGTTGCATTAGTAACAGTCGATAGTTGAAAACCTTCTTTTCATCACAGAATTTGTGAACTGGAATGACTTTGCCAATTATCCATTCGTAAGAAGTTTCGCCTTTGCTCAAAGACAGCTGGAAAATTTGAGCGAGAAATATAGTTGACGGAATCACTGTTAAATTAGGAATTTTCGAGTCAATGCCGTCTGCCACAGTTGAGATGAATATTTTTAATTTGTTTATTGTTGACGCTAGGGCTCATGTATCGTATAGGTCTCATGCACTCGTAGCTAACTTCTGGGAAAGAAGGCATGTTGAAGCAGTTTTTTTCTGGAAACACAGACGTAAAGTAGTCATTGAAAACAGTTGCAAAATCATCGTGTGGACTGGCATTACCGTCATGGTAACAGGAAAGTGAGATGTGATACGACTTTTATGAAGGCGAGATTGTTTTACAAAGTTTCACAGGATTATTGATGATTGAAGGTCATGTGATACAAATTTGTTTTTCGCCTTGCATACAGCGTCCAAATACTCTTTTTCAGAAGCTTGCCTTTCACACTTGTTCCCGGATACTTTACATAGACGTGGCTTCTTATTTCTGAGTGCACGAAGTGACTTGGCGAACCATGGTTTAGATATATTAACACGGTCCGTGGTACATGATCATGAATGAGTTGGTGTACTTTTGCTTTGAATAGTGCCCAGTTTTCTTGAACCAATCGCAGCGAAAAAGAATTTGTCACAAAAATCTTGCATGCCTCTGTTAATGGCTTCACCATCAGCTTTCTTGTAATTTAGTACTAGTTAAGGTGTAGAATGATGCGAGAAATATAGATTTTGAATATTGAGGGCATGATCACTAAAACCATCATGACAAGAGAGAGGACCAACTCTTTTCAAGATGGACGTTAAAATGAGATCCAGAATGTTACTATCACGGGAAGGTTGGTTCACTAATTGGACAAAGGAGAAATCAAGTGCGAGTTGAAGGAACTCATTAGAAGCACCTGTTTTGAAAGTCCCGTTAGGCCAGTCTAAGTGTGGAAAATTGAAATCATCAAACAAAAATATACCTGAGATAGGGTATTTCGACAGCACTAATATTGTCATGTAACCCTTGAGTAAATTATACAGGAGAATCCGGTGGGCGATAACAGATGCTGACAACGGTGCTGTATGAGCCCGACATGATTGCAACCCATAAAATGTCAAGTTGTTGGTAGCTTACCATGTTGTAGTGGACGTGCAGGACGTGAGAGTCGGCCTCCTGCCTGGATCTGAACACACACTGGCAGGCAGAGCAGGTAAAGGGCTTTTCAGCTGCAGTTTGCTTTCTACTGCTTTCCTGGTGTCCAGCCTAAGACCGTATACACAAGAGCAAGTTAATGGTTTGAGTGGGTCTGAATTTTATACAGGCATTGCTCTCTGTTTGCACAAACTTATCATACTAAACTAGACCAAGTGGCACATGACCATCCTTGGTCACTCATGAGCTGTTAGATGCTGTCACCTCAGTGCATGAGCATATGGCGTTTTGGTCAGATAAAAATTCAGCTGCATTTCAAACGTTCAAAGCACTTTCATGGTGTAAAACTGATTATGAGATCAAATACTGAAAAACGAAAATGAACACAATGACGACTTTTTGGCACCATACCCCTTTCCAAGTTCCTCCTTAACACCTACTGTAATTACACAGTGCCCTATTTTTCACTTGCTAGTGACGCGATTTCACTGCAAAGCGACGAAACCGTACACGTGTGGCACAGCACAAATATACGGTTTTGCAATGTGTGCGGCGTCACGTGGAATGAGCTATATAATGTGTTGTAAGAGTACGCAATAAACAAGAGTTGGAAGTTAGCGCTCATACTGTCGTCTGTCTTTCCTCTCCTTGACTGCATAGTACCTGACGATAGTTATAGCGCGAGAACAAAACAACGACACAGAGACAAGAAGGACACGAAAGACAGACGTCTCTGTGTCGTCGTTTTGTTCTCGCGCTATAACTATCGTCATGCCATACCAACTAGCCCAAGCTGCCACACTTCTAAGTTGCATAGTACCTTTCCTTCACGCTCTAACTGAGCTGTGCTAAAGCAATAACATTTTAACAAGCACCAACTCGCCCAGTCAGCAGTACTTGTCAAGTTTTACCATGTTTACCATAATAATTATGAGCAAGCATACATCCCAAAAGGTAAAAAATAAGCTCTCTTTTCTGTGGACAATCCCTCGATTTCAATGCATTCTCGACAACAGGCCATTTTCTTGCCTAACACTTATGATATTCAGGGTAGCTGTCTCTGAAGCCTCAAGCTGCATCAGTTTTCCCTTCATATTCCTTTTTATCTTGTAGAAAAAAAAAATAGTACATGTATTAGAAGATTGCTTTTAAGAAAAACATGGTACCTGGAACTGTATTGTTCATTTTCTGAACAGATTCTATCTAAATGCAAATTTTTTTTTGTGCAGATTTCAAAAGTGAAGAAATTCTTTCTTGAAACTCTAGTGCAATTGTGGAGCCAAAGTCAGGAAAAAAAAAAAAAAATAAAAAACTAGATCACCAAAGAAAAATACTTTCTAGCATTGAGCCCAAAGTCACAAAAGAACCTGAAAGAAATGTGAAAGTGTCTGACTGTGTTTACTTATGTAATGAACGCACTTGCATAATAAACGCACCCCCTACTTCAGTCATCAACATTTTGATTCTTTTATCCCCCGTAATAAATGCATCCCCTATAGTCATTCGCTGCAGTCTTGCTAACCGACACCTGGTGCCTTCTCATCCATTGGATCTCTTCTGTATTTTTATTATTTTGCTCACCACCCCCCAAGCCAGCTCGACTTGCTCCTTCCCCCCCCTCTTCGCCCGTTGCCACGAGCCGTATCGCTTTTCTTTCTCTCTGTGCACGAAACGTCCTCCATCTTATCTGTGTACGACAGCAGAGTTCACGAATGGTGCAAGTGTAGACATCGCAGTTGATAAGCACGCAGCTCACGAAGCTGCCCGCGCCAAACGACGATCGCTTCCTGCGAATGCGAAAAGGCCCAACCATGCGCACACGATTTTTGAGCGACGACGACAGGATTTGCTGTTGCGAAGGGTCATTCGTCGCTATTGCTTCACAGGTTTCCGCAAAACCAGAAAAAAATAGCTTGTCATCCAGAAACGATCGTAACGATTTCCGCAACTTGGTAGCACCCCCTTATTCTGGCTTGTTATCCCTCGCTTCGCTTGTTATCAACGCGTAGAGGATCTTCTCATGTGGAAGCGAGACGACGGCCGTGGAGGCGAGACGGCGGCCGTATTTTGTCGTTAATCTTATTATCGACAGTTTGTTTCGATGCTTCGGGGATAGCTTGCTGCAATGCTGGTTACTTGCTACAATGTTAACGGCGGCGTCATCGTCGTTGTACGAGGTTGCGGCGAAGTTGGCAAAGTGCGTCGTAGCACACGCTTTTGGGCGCCCCTTGAGATCACAGCAGATATTGCGGTTAAACAATTGCGAGAAAAGAAAGCTGCAAAACACTTTTATGGTGTGCGCGGGCGGCCCCGGGACAGCTTGCAGAAGATAGCACTATCAACCACTGAAGATGAGTTAAGTGCAACAAAGAAGCAGTTTCCAAACAGTGTGTCTATTTTTATGAAAGGAAACACGGGAACGCGTGGCCTGTGTGCTCTGGCGGCTGCTGGCAGCACCTTCAAATGGGAGCAAGAGCAACCACAGCCTCTTTTTACGTCATCTCGGGGCGAGCAAAGCAACCATTCATTGCTGATATGGAAAAAGCAGCAAGATAGCACCCCTCCCCCTTCAAAACGATTACCAGCCTCTTGCATTATTCAACTTGATAGGAGGGGAGAGGGTGGTATCTTGCGGCTGGTTCTACAGTCGAGCCCACATACAACGGCCCCACTTAAAACAAACTTTGGCGTAAAACGAACAATATCCGCACGACTATGAAAATATACATTGGTTCAATGGCACAAAATGGCACACAACTCTTACAACAAACGTCTCCGAACGCGGCTGATCGTTTACAGCGAACGGAGTCAGCAGTCTGCCGACTTCCTGGGAAACCAATTTCGACCACCGATCAGGCATCGGCAAAGTGCCCATACATTCTTACTGTTAAACGGCGACCCTGCCTCCGCGCCCCTCTAGTTGCTGCTCTCCCCAAGTGCTTTTTGTTACGCACCCCTTCGTTCTTTGTCCCCCCCGCTACTCTGAGCACCCCGCATTGCCAGACGAGGCCCGTGTTTTCACACTGCCACCGTTCTTTGGAACACCGGTCGGCCATCTCCCCTGTTTTTGATCGCTGGTACTGAGGTTGGCGTCGCCGGCCTGGAGTGACCAGACCATTTGCCAACATCGTCGGCCACCGACTGTATCCAATATACTGCGTCTAGTGCACGCGTGTACGCTACCCCACCAACTCTGATAATTTGCGATTCGTTTTGTGTTTAGGACTTCTTCTCGCTCACTTCGCACTCGGCTCAGCATGCCTTCTGCGCGCATGCGGAAGAGCGAAAACGGCTGTTAATTTGCACGGAACGAATTGTGAAATATCGAAGTTAGTGAGGCCACGAGAACCTGCCGGCGCAAAAAAAAAAACGATTTCTTGACCACGGCCACCGATTCTTCGAACACCGCCACGCGCACCGATCCAGGCGGCCATGCTTTGACTTCTGGGTGCGCAGGCACTCTTTTCAAGTTTTTCTACTTGCGAGTTTCACGGGCCTTTCAAGCAAGCTACCAAACCTGCCTCCTTCCAGTGTTTTGGTTTTCAAGGTTGCCCTCCCACCGCATCCTCCCCTCTCTTTATGGCAACTCCTTGCCCTTCTCTCGCAAATCTGTTCTCTCTTGATCATAACCCCTTCGCCCGTCTTCACCACTCCGCGACGCCGGCCATGCTGGCTCAAATTAGTTTCGTTTTCCGACTGGAAATGGGCCCAGAGCTGTTCCACGCGTTCTGGCATATGTGGCACATGTGTGCGTCTTGCTCACTCTTGGTGTGTGTGTGTGGTCATGATGCCCGACGGGAGGACTAGCGCACTTTTTCCTGCCGCTCAACAAATTGTTGAAAGTATGACCGCTTGGCTTGAGCGTAATCGACGCGTTAGGTGCTGCGTTGCGGAGCGCTTGCTCATAGCTGTTGACCACCTGGCAGCCAACCTGCCGCTTCGGGCGTCCCGGTATTCAGCTGTGGAGATGGTGAATATTTCGTGGGCGGTGGTGACGACTACATGCACGCGAAGCTGTTTTCGCAAGGTCTACTACATCGACGTTGGGCCCGATGCTGAGCCTGAAGCTTCTGAACTAGGGCGACGATTTGTGGCAGCGCGTCGTCGACTCCGACCCGGGAGAGTGGGTGGGACATCCGTTGCGATGATTTAATTATGGCCGATGATGGAGCCAGTGCCTCATGCAGCTTATGCCACGGATCTCGGGGAACGAGCACCCTGCCATTTTAAATGAACTCGTGACCGCCCTTATCACTTCTGCTCTTCGAAACACATGCTTCACGAACTTTTGGGGGCAAAAAAAGTTGGTGTTTTCACTCACAACTTTTTTAACTTTTTTAAAAGCTGTGTTTCATTTACATTTGAACTTCAGGATACAGCGAACGAATGCCGCGTCATGCTCAGGTTCGTTATAAGCGGGCTCAACTGTATATCATCAACAAATGGTTGTCTTGCTCGCTGCGAGATGACGCGAAAAGAGGCTGTGGTTTCTCTCGCTCCTGCTTGAATGCGCTGCCAGCAGCTGCCGGAGCGCATAGGCCTTGCGTTGCCGTGTTTCCTTTCATAAAGATTGACACTGTGCGCATATGTCAATTGCGAAAAGCTAAGCCACCTAACTTCTTTTGCACTACTGCATTTTTCGCTCTTCCTGAAAAAGTTCTCATAAAATTTACCTCGCGTAATAAACACACCATTCCACTTTGCTTCGACTTTTCGAGAAAAAAAGTGCGTTCATTACGTGAGTGAATACGATGAAATCAATTAGCAAAGAATCAGTGGTCATCCAGTGCTTAAACAACAGCAGTGTATTTCTAAAACTGATGACATTGCTTTTTTTCTTCAATCGCTCTTTCCAGTCTTCTTTCCCACTTCCCTGTCGCAGTGAATTACCACGTATTCCTGACAATGTGCTCAAACATATGCAGCACCTGGTCGTAACACATGATAGTTACTTGACAATATAAATGTTTCTTCTGCAAGTGGCCTTGACGATATATGTCCTTATGTGTGAAAGGGACACAAAAGAAAAATATTAAGTCGACGTAGATTGTTCAACTAGTCCTCCACAAAAATTTGTGGTGTTACCTTTGTGCCGAGGAAGTGCTTATTTT